AGTGTAGAATACTCACCCTTACATTTATTTTTCAAGTAACCAAGATGATCAACACCGGGCTCAGTGAGGGATGAATGAAACTGCTATAGAGCTTAGATTTTATTTTGAAAATGTGATGTATTTTGATTAGTCCTATAGCAGTTACTTGATCAAAATTTCTAAATCATTATTTCTCATTTTATTATCTTGTGAAGATTTCATCACTATAGAATCAGAAACTATAAAACGATTAGCAGCTAGTGCAGCTTCTTCTTGTGCCTTATACATCTTGATAGTCTCTGCAACCAAGTTTTGAAATAACTACATTTTCACAATAAATAAAACTTTATTCTGATCGACAACAAAATTGCATAACATGACAACATAAACTGAACAACAGCAAAAGAAATATAAAATTGCATTACTCAAAAAACATTTAATATACCTCAGTTTCGAAATTCTCTTTCAACCACAATGGGTCAAGAAGATCACTTTTATCCTTTTTATGATACAATAGGCCCTGTTGAAGAATAGAATTATCATTAATTAAAAACAAAATCTTTATATGAACTACGACTCCATTTTCGTTATAATAACAGTAACATAACCACAAATAGGAATCTTCAAGATAAATCAATGGAATTTACTAGAATGTCATTCTTCTCTTCTCGAATTCGCTTTTCTATCATGTTATCATCCCAAAATTTAACCCAAGGATATTCTTTATCAAAGCCGGTGATGCTTAGTGGACGCTTATGAAAATACAAAACCTACAGCAATATTAGAATTTTATTTTAGATCACAAGGGGTTGAGGACACTTATATACTTAATTAATAGGTTATAACAATTGTACAATTAACATTTTCTAAACTATACCAAACAAGTTACAATACTTTAAGGAAAAATATGCAACTTCCAATCCCTGTTGTCTTACTCTTGTATTGTCTTGCCTTATATAATTTTAACTGCCTTACAAGGCACTTAAAAACAACTAAGCTCCAATTATACTTTTTTACGTTTTCTATATCAATGATAGATCCTAAAAGTGTTGGATAGGGTGCCATCTTTAACGTTGGGAACAAGAAACATGACAAAACATACAAGATAAAAGCTCTTCTAAATTGGTCGTCCACTTTGCTTTCACCAATAATTCGAAATAGTTGAGCATCTGTTATTCCTTCAAATTCAGTCAACATTGCTCTTTGTTCGACTGTGGCACATTCTGAAATGTCCAATCCTATATTCAAGTTTGAAATATTAGATTTATCAGTTTGGGAGTAAAGGTCGTTAGGTTAACTAACTTATTCAATATGTACAAACCATGTTCTAGCAGCCCAAAAACTTTGGCTACATCGTGATAGCTTACTGACTCCTGTTCCTTTGTGTATATGCACAATTGATTTAAATGAAAAGACTTTACCAATTTTAAGCAGATACTCCTATCAAGTCTTGTACATTTTACATGGAAAATTCCTCCAAACCCTATATCAATGACTATGTCTCGTTGTTCTTTTGTCAAGATGTTACAAATTGTTTATAAACAATTTGGTGAGCATCGACTAAGGAATATAGCCTGTATATATGCATTTCAATTAAACTATCAAATATACAACATCAATATGAATGATAAATGGTCCACAAGTTTGATGATTACATACCTTGCTGCCAGATTTCTTCTTTGTCTGCTTCTTTGACAGTTGACAGGTCCTATTACTATGCATAACTTGTCGACTTTCATCATTAGAGTCATTTTCATCTAAATTAATATTTTCAATAGGATCAAAGTCTTGGTATGATCCTGAGGTTGTCGCTTGTTCAACAACACGTCCTTTTCCTCGCGTAATTTTTTAATTGTGTACAACCTGCAAAATTACTAGTATATATATTACAATTATCATCACATTGAACATTGGTTTACCAGCTTTATTTGCTGAATTACCATATTCATACAGTTCAAATAGAGTATAACTGTTATTATATTACTAGCAGTTTCAGACTTATCAGCTAATATTAGTGACAACTCAAGAAATAAACTTAAGTAAGTTCAGTAACACATATTACACAAGAGGAAAAGAAATTGTGTTAACCCTGCAACATTACCACTTTCATATTAAAATTACCATCACATTAAACATTGAATTACCATGTTTATATGTCAATTACCATCATCATACAGTTTAGACACAACACATCTTCTATGATATTAGTAGCAGTTTCTTACTTATGGCCTAATATTGGTGACAAAAATTTAATAACCTTATGTTAGCCATTAATTAAGTTAGTTCACTAACATATATTACAGAAGTAGAAAAAATTTGTGTACACCCTACAATATTACAACTTTTTACATTCAATTACCATCAAATTGAAAATTGAATTACCAGATTTTTATGATAAATAATCATCTTTATGCAGTTAAAATAATAGCATTATTGTTATCATACTCAGGATTAACAGAAAACATATGTAAAATGATTTAACGTTAGCTTATACACTAAATTACTAGAATCTAGATAAAAAAAATATACTAAATTAATATATGAAATTAACTACATTCACTAACTGCCGTTGTCTATAAGACTACCACAAAGGAATCTAAAATGATTTCAAAGTACTCATTAACATTGTGAAAAACCCAAAGAAGAGGACATTAAAAGCACCTGTAATGCTGCGAACGACTGATGCCCAACCAATATTTCAACCTATCTTCAACACAAAGGCTTGAAAGAGGGCCAATACGCAAATACCCAGGAGTAGGCCACAGAGAACAAGTGAGAGAGAGTCACGCAACAATGAATAGTTACCGAGAGTGAGAAAGGATTTTTTTTTTGTTGAAGAAGCACAACGGCAACATAGCTTCGCGATTCAAAAGTTTTTTTTTTTTTTGGATTTGTTCAAGAAAAAGAAGAAGAAGCCACATAGAACAAGTGAGAGAGAGTCACGTAACAATGAATAGTCCTCGAGAGTGAGAAAGACATTTTTTTAGTTATAGAAGGACAGCAACAACGTAGCTTCACTCCTCAAATATTTTTTTTATTTGTTCAAGAAGAAGAAGAAGAACCCGCAGAGAACAAGTGAGAGGAGAAGTAAGAGAGACAAAGTGACACAGTAAATTGCTCAAATGAGAGACAACACCCAAATACCTAGAAGTAGGCTGCAGGAGAGGAGGAGGACGAAGAAGAAGAAGAAGAAGAAGAAGAAGAAGAGGAAGAAAGGAGGAACCAGAGGCGGGAGACTTACACGACATTCTTCTGATTTTTTTAAGTTTGGTTAATGAGTTTAGACAACATACTCACGTGTGTAGAATAAGTAATATGCAACATTGTATTTAGGAACTATTACTATACGGTGTTGGGTATAGACACCAAATCTGAGTGTTTGAATAGCATTATTGTTATAATTGATACTTATTGACTTGAGTTAAAATATAATAAAGTAAAAAATTAAAACACAATTTTTTTACACTTAAATGTAAAGAATAATTTATAAATAAATGCTAACTATTGAAACTAAAGATATATATTAATAAAAAATTTTAAAAAGTGTTTTTTTTATAAATTTGTCTTAGAAAAATAAAAAATAAACTATTAAATAAAAGATTTATAATCTAAAAAAGTACTAAAAACTTATATATTTAATTTAAATATTATTTATGATTTAAAATTATATATATTTATGATAAAGTTTATTAATTTAATAAATACATAAGTGAATCAAAAAATAATAATTTTATATTTGGTCATATATATTTCATTTTTTATATAAAACAATATTTTTAAAAAAATTATAAAAATTGATATTTTATATAAAAGATATGCTTAATCTTATATTTAGTATACTTAAATTTAAATTATACACATTTTTAAATTTATAATTATTTAAAATATATATTTAGTTTTTACATATATGATGAAAATCAAGGAAGGGCCATTGAAGACAAAAACTTAAAGACATTAGAAGGACTTCAAGAACCAATGACAAGGACAAGAGCAAAGCGAATAAATGGAAACTTAGAAAAGATTGTTGCTGTTCTAATTGAAAGAGAACTTAAGTTGGAATTAGAAAAACCCAGGATAGTCAATTATATATGCTTAGAGGATTTGAATTCTAACGAGTTTTATTAGGATTTAATTATTATGTTTAGTTTATTTATTTTAATATTAGTCATTACTTATTTTGAGTTTTTATTTAAGATAAAATTTTGTTATTTTATTTGAATTTAGGCTTGTTGGTACAAGAATCCCATTAGAGTTTGCTTTAATATTAGTTTACAAGCATTAGACATATATAAGCTTTTGTATACACAGTTTTAATTAAGTTTTCAATACAATTTGAGATTGAACACTCTGGTGGGAGCGTGTGACTCTAGTTTCTTGAGTGAACCAATCTTATCAAGAGACCAAAACTCTTGTGGCGATCGTTCCTTAGCTTATCAATCTTGCGATTATAGCGTCATTTTCCATCTCTATTCTATTTTTACTTTTTATTAATTTTCTTCTTATTTGAATTCCTATTTGTACCCTACTAATTTTATTTTTATTGTGTGAAATTCAATTCAAAATTGTTTATTTCGACGATACGGTTTGTGTTGTCATCAATATAACACATTTATAAATTAGTTTTTATATCTAAAATAATTATATTTTAATTTTTATATGAGTATTTTTATATCTAAAAATATTGTATAAAAATTTAAATATAATTTTTTTAAATATAAAAATTAATTTATAAATTTGTATCAATTATAAAAATTAAATATATAATTTAATAAAAGAAAGTTCACATCTTCTAATGAAAAGTAAGTGATTACGTGTTAAAAATAATTTATAAATAAAAAAGCGGACAAAACGATTATTTTGTTGGTTCGAAAATAATGACTCAAATTAATATCGTTTGAAGACGAAGTTTCAAACAGAAAACATCGAAATTGTAATAATTAGTTGTTGATCCCGTACGAGATTGGATTTAGGGATATATTTTTCAAGTAGGAAATTGTAATAATTGGTAATCGTTTTTATTATAATTATTAAAATAAAATTAGGCGTCTTCTCTATTTGTGTGTTTACTTGCTGATTGATGGAGGAACATGGTGAAGCTCCTCAACCTTAACCTTCCATCATATTCTAAATTAGTGTCATTCTCACATCCTCTAACAAGGCCTTTCTTATCCCAACGCAACGCCTCCACCATCACCACCATGTCCATAAACCTACGCTCACACGCCTTCGCGGGTAACCCTTTGAGATCCCGAATTCCAAACCGGGTCGACCCGTTTTCGCCCACAGCGGCATTGGAGACCCTCAAGAGCCGAATTCTAGAGCACACGAATCAGTCCCTTTCGCCGAGTTTCAAGGTGTTGCCTTTCAGAAACGGAAGGCCGTTGGCGTCTTCGGTGAATGGGGACACGTGGCATCTGGGTTGGATCGGTTTGGGGGAACTGAAGGGGTTACTGGGCGCGGGCGCTGAGTTGAGCGGTGACTCGTTCGTGTATTTGGGTTCTGACTCGGAGGAAGATTCTGTTTACTGGGCGATTGATGTTTCGGGGGAGCGTGGGTTGGGTGACATGCGTATGTGTTTTGTGGAGCTGAGGACGCTCATGGTGGCTACCGATTGGGTTGATTTGAATGCAATGGGTAACTTGGCTGTTGCTGGTCATGTAAGTTCAGTTCCCTTCTTTTGCTTTTTTTATAGTGTTTTCAAGCCATTGCATGCGTATTTACATAATTGAATTAGTTCATCTAAGATTACAGTGTTGCTCATATGAGCCCTTAATCGTGAAAGTTGCTCCTTTTATTTGTCATAAAGGAATATTGAATATATGTAATGTAAAGACATTTCTCTCCTTTAGAATATTGAGTCATGACATTGTTGTCAGGAGCACCTGTTTTCCCTTTAGAATCTGATAATGGATTGATGGTTTTCCCCCCAACACTTCAGAAATTGAACTTGAGCTTATTGTTAACATTGGTCCATCCTACCAATTGAACCAACCTTCATTGGCAGAATATTTTACTTAATCCCTCAATACTTAGAGAGAAAGTAAAGAGAAGATCAAAACATATGGTGATACTTGTTAGGAAGCATATTTATCATGTTCTAATATTTGTAAATAGTAGTTACTATAATTAGCGGTGGTTACCATAGTTAGGAATTTAGTATATATGGTTGATTCTTTCTTCTCTAACATATAATTATAAATACGCAAGTGTAGACATCTAATTACACCATTCTGGTCCTAGTTGTTTTTTTTTTTCTTTTGTTATAGTACCACGTTTCTCCTCACTCCAGATCTCTACTGTCACTGTTTCTTTCACTGGTGTGGCCCTGTGACCAGCCAGCACCCACTGAAGACCACCGGCAGCTGTCATTCCATCTGACATCCTCTTTTGGGCGCTTGCATCCTTTTCCAGGTATCTTCTTGAAGCAAAAATTCCTGTTTCTCATTCCCAGTAGATACAAATAAATCTGAATCGTATTCAGGTTGGAACCACTTTAGCAAAGCCTTTGAGAAGTCTCACCAGTCACCACAATTCACTTGGATGGTCTTGTTTTGGCACAAACCACCTATTGGAACCTAGACTTGCATCTTTCTCGCCTATATTTTGGACCATCATTATCAGTGCTTCCATGCTCTCATGAATTTCTCTCTCCATTCTTAATTGGTTTTCCTCCATTCTTTGCTGCTATTCCTCCACCTGCAGTTGCAGCTCCTCTAAACAAGCCTGAAGATTCCTGTCGGTGACACCCATCGAGATCATGACCCATCCACAGCTTCTTTTCTTGTTTCTATCTGGAAATGGGAGCTCTGATGCCAACTAGTATAAACTGGTTCAGATATTGAATAAAGACTGTCTTTATTAAGCGAAACTCCAGTACAACCCATTGCTCAAAGGCTCCAATCCTCTCTTAATTCACAAGGCATTTTCCCCCACATCGCTTCTACTTACTTATAGGCAGCATGTCTAATTAACTAATTTAGGTTAACTAAGATACTGTAACCACTAATGGGTAACTAACTACTAATAACCTAACTTATGCTAAGTAATAATAAATAGAAATTTTACCCAATATTCTACAGATAAACTGACAAAATGACAGGTCATCACCTACTTTATCTCCTTTCCTTTTCTTTCAAGGATTATTGTCTGACATATGCTAAACTACCCTTCTTTGCAAGAGTTATTACCTTTTACTATCTTGGGAATCAGTAATTATTTTGTATTGTATTGTTTTGTGGATCTATCATACTTCTTGGTGTTAAATACTAATGTAAGCTGCCTGTAGTTATATTATATTCTTAATTTGTTGACCTAGTTTCATACTTTCAGTCTAAGATTAGACAATAGGAAATGCTGGTTTTCTAACTACTGGATTTGGCCAGGCCAGGGCACTTCTAGAATGGCATAATATATCACGATTTTGTGGACATTGTGGAGAGAAAACAGTTCCCATGGAAGCTGGGAGGCGGAAACAGTGTTCGAGTGAGTCGTGCAAAAAGAGGATATATCCACGAGTTGACCCGGTTTGTTATCTTCTGTTCTCTCTGTTAATTTATCAATGCATGATCTAGTGTTTCACTGAAGATTCTTTGGACTCCTGGTCATATGCAGGTAGTCATTATGCTAGTAATTGATAGAGAGAATGATCGGGCCCTTTTGAGTAAACAATCAAGATTTGTGCCTAGAATGTGGAGCTGCTTAGCAGGGTTTATAGAGGTGCATGCTTGACCTAATAAAAGACCACTTCATTTTTTTAGGTTCTAACTGTGCTGTTATAACATGTGTTGCTTAGTTTAGTTAGCTTGAATAAATATTGGGGAAACTATTTTGAATTTGTGTACTTACAATAATAGATAATAACTACCTTGTTGACAATAATATTGTTTTTCTAAAATGATAATATTTTGAGATAGTCAATGCTCCTGCTTATTTAGTCTAAAATTCTTGAATTTCCTTTCATCCTTTTAATTTTCTAGTATTGTGGGTTGCAGATGGTATAAACACTTACGCCAAGTTAGAATTTGCATGAATTTTTGCAAAAAAATGGTTTTTCTTTTCTTTCAAAACCTCTGAGAAAAAAATTGATTATAAAGTGTTTTGAAAACTACCTCTGGTCCTAGTTATAAGAAACAAATACCCAATTCATCAATACATTGAGTAGTTATATATCATGAATTTATATTATTTTAAAAATATCCATAGTATTAAATGGTCAAAGTGGTATCTTATGTATTAAATAAATGAATGTATCCACTTATATGGTGGGTAAAAGGGTGAGTCTTTAATATAAATGTCACAACAAATAAGGCTATAAAAAGAATTTAGCAATTAATACATTTGAAAATGGGTATTTATTTCTTACAATTAGGACAAAAATATATTGGTAATTGTTTCTTACAAATAATACATGAGGTAGTAGTGAATAAGCTAACGTAAACATGCACTTAGTAGGTTTTAAACAATCAAAAGTTCAACCTTCTCCTTAGAAGGAAAAGGATATCATTTCTTTGTTGTTTAGTTTATATTTAAAATTTTATTATCTTGTTGCTCTAGCCAGGAGAAAGCTTGGAGGAGGCTGTGAGAAGAGAAACATTGGAGGAGACTGGTATTGAAGTGGGAGAAGTTGTATATCATAGTTCTCAGCCATGGCCTGGTATTACATATTCTACATAACTGATTTCTTATACCTAGGCTTTTATTCTTATTATATCTCCATTTTCTACATCAAATAAACATGTGAAGATGTGGGTTTGCATTTGATTGAAAATCTGATGGGCTATTTTGTGCTATTCAAAGATTATTTATATCATCCAGAGAATGGCTGTATTGATGACTTGATGTAACCTTGTAGTCCTTACTGCCAAATTTTATCCCATCAGTCTTCCATTGTTTCTTTATTTTGCTTAATTAGATGTGATATGAGGATATGAGTATTGCTTAATGCCTCTTTTATCAAATATACCAATCAAATCAATCATTTGGACTACTGTGGTCTTTTGATATATTCTAAGTAACTTTACTAGAATCAATATCTTGAATTTGTTCATGTTCATGAAAATTGTAGTATTTTTTCATGTATAGGAAGCTTTCTAAAGCAATGAAGTATGAGTTGAGATATTCCAATACACTGAATTAACATATTCTTTTGTTTTCTTTTCTCATCAAACTTGTAAATATATTCTACCCTTCTTTTGTATGTTAATAGTTTCCTTTATTGGCTTTGTTTCTAGTTGGACCAAATAGCATGCCATGTCAGCTGATGGTTGGGTTCTTTGCCTATGCGAAATCTCTTGAAATAAATGTGGACAAAGAAGAGTTAGAAGGTATGTTGACCTACAGAGTTTAACGGAATTGACCTATTGCCCATTCCCCACCTGATGTGTCCTTTTTATACTTGATTATATCCATGACTTTAAGTGGTATGTGAAGAACCTAATTATGAGTGACACTTGCACACATTGCATCATCTAGCTGAGAATTGAACCTTATGGGTGTCCAATTTTGATAGATACCCATTAGTTAATTAGTTACTAAGAAAGCTGGTTAGTTACATAGATAGTTAGCTAAGTTGGTTTGTTGAATAAATAAGGCATGTTGCCTATAAATAATAGGAGAGGTTAAGAGAGATATATTTCTTTCATATTTTTGCAGCTGAAATCTCAGCCTGACATTGTGTATGTGTGTAATCCTTTTAATATTTTAGAGGATACAGGTGAATTTTTTCATGGTGTTAGCTTCAATAATAATAAATGACATGTATCAAGTTGCTTAGAAATCGTGTTGTGATAAACCTGATTCACCTGAACCTCAAAACTTCTTGCTGGATGACAACATTGTTGGGCTTTGTTTGTGGAGACAATAAGAGAAAGAACAACATGGATTTAAAATGGAGGATATAGATGAACTTTGTCCAACTTAAGTTTTGTTTCCCTTCTGATATAAACTGGTATCTTTATTAAGAAATACAAGAAGAAACTCCCAACATTACAGAATAAAATTCACACTCTACAGTTCTTACAGGGACTGCACCACCTAAGCCAAAGGCCCTAACTCTCTTACAATTTACAAGCTGACCTCTCTCTCTTCCTCCCTCTTTAGAGGCCATATGCCTTATTTCATTTACAATCTCAACCATCCCAATTGCTAACTAATTAAGGTTAACTAACTAATATATTGTTTGTTAGAACCATTGTAGTCAATCTCAGATAGTGGCACGGAGTGACCAATCCCAAAAACGCTATAGTGGGGTAGTAGATAGCAGGATAACTGCTATTCTGAAGACAATCAAAACAGTCACTGAAAAATGTCTCACTATCATCGGAAACATTCTACATCACATTGGAAATAGCATAGGTTACACCAAAGATTGAAAAGACAACCGAAAGATGTCTCTGCTCATGTTAGAAATAAGTTGAGTTTCATTGGAGATGAAGAAGACGATTGAAACTTGGCCGGAAATGGTGACTCACCAGAAAGTGATGCTGGAGATTAAGGACGAACCAAGAGAACGAGAGAATAAAGATGGAGGTAGCTTTTGATCTTGACTTGTGAAGACGAAGAAGCATTCCAACTTTCAAAAATATAAAGGGGTGGTGAAATCTCAAGATTGCCCTCTTTAAAAAGCATTCCAACTTTCAGAATGGGAGGGCAAACTTGCCCTTTTGCCCCTGTTCGACATATAAAACGGGTGAAATTCCAAGATTGCCTCCTTAAAAGCGTTTCAACTTTCAGAAATGGAGAGCAAACTTGCACTTTTTCCATAGGATGAAATAGTGACCACAATGGCTGTGATTTACTCTGGTTTTTGCCTCGATTCGCAGCACGTTGGCCGCTACACTGAAATGCAATGTGATGGTGATGGAATAGTGGCACCTAGCCACTCTGCTCCGCACCTCTACGTTAGTGGCCGCTATGGCTGCTATTCTTAGAACTGTGGTAGAGGAACATATGATTGATGTCAATGCGAGATCTAAAGTGTGGAAGTTTTATTTTAGGAGAGAGGGTAGAAAAGAGTTATTTGCAGAAAATAAGGATAAGGATTAACTAATATTTGTTAGTTTGTTAATGTTACTAGTTGTAATAGAGATTCTAAAAATAGAGTTAGTTTCTTGATTAAGGGATTATCAATTCTATTGGTTGTTTTAGGGAAAATTTTATTCTTTGTTTAGGAGTTGTTAGCTCAAAGGGGTTATTTTGTAATCCTAATTCTTTCTAGTAATCAACAAAACCTTCAATTTCTTCAATCCTTACCTTGAATTCATCTTTGAACCCTAAAACTTGGTCCGACCTATTAGGTAGTTCCCCATTTTAACAAGGATGAACAAGAGAGTAGAGGTTCTTGAATCTAGGGAGTTTAGAACATCGAAGTTGCACAAAAGATGCTTTCAGATCAGATGAGGGAGATGAACGTCACGCAGCAAGAATTGTTGTAGACGAGTAGTGCTAGGGTGATGAAAAACCAGCTACATGAGGAGTTGCATGAAGAGGAAACATCGATGTTGAGTTTTGTTCTTCCGTCAAGAAGGTGGAAATCCACTCCCTTCGATGGTGCTGATCTTGCTGGTTGGATTTGCAGAGTGGAGACTTATTTTGATGTGCATGGAATAAGTGGGGCTGTGAAAGTGAAATTGGTTAAAATTTGCATGGAGGGAACCACGATTCATTGGTTCAATTTGTGGCATGAGGAGGTGGAATCTACATGGGATAATCTGAAATAGGCCTTGATAGTAAGCATCGGGGATGATGTTTGGATAATCCTTTTGAGAAGTTGAAGTTGCTGAAGCAAGAAGACTTTGTGGAAGGGCTCATTGAAGCTTTTGAAGCTCTTACTTCTCAGGTTCCAAAGTTGGCTAAGACTCAATACCTTGGGTATTTTGTGGAAGGGCTGAAAGAAGAGATCAAATTGAGGATGAGAACCTTAGATCTGTCAACTCAGTGGCATGCAATGCATTTGGCGAGGGGGATCAAGGCCGAGATTGCAAAGGGGAGTAAGATTTTGCTATCGTGAAATAAGAGTTCTTTTGGTGGGTTGTTGGGCACTAGAGGTTCAACAAGGGATTTGTCCATATTCGTTCATCAAGGATCTATCTGCACAGGGGGAAACTCAGTTAACCAAGGGTTTAGGGTGGGAGTCATAGCAGAGGTGTGAGACATCTTCCTCATGATGAAAAGAAATTGGAGCGTCAGCAGTTGGGTTTGTGCTTTAAGTATCGAGGAAGATTCAGCCTTAGACATCAGTGTAGAAATCGTTCTCTATGCTTGACGATTCTAGCAGAAGATAAGGAGAGCAAGGAAGATGAAGCCTTGGCGGCCATAAAGAGTGATGGTTGAACTTAAGGGGATCAACTACATGGATGGAGGAAAACAGAGGTCATTTGAAAGAGAGCATGTTCCTCTTTATAATCTAGTGAGTAATGCAGCACCTTTGGTTGATGGTTTGCAATGGTCCAAGTCTGATCAGTGGATGAAAGGAGATTATGCAGATTTATCCTTTGTACAACAAGAACTGGATCAAATTTTAAAGGCTCATAAAAATGTTCTTAGAGAGTTGAGTGGACTTCCACCCAAAAGATCAACATTACACAATATTACTTTGAAGGAGGGTGTAGAATCTCTCAATGTTGTACCTTACAAGTATTCTCATCATCACAAGAATGCTGATATAAAGGGTAATTTGCTACAGTTCCAGTCTTTTCTCTAGTCCGATCTTTCTTGTGAAGAAGGATAACACATGGATAATGTGTGGACTATTGAACATTGAATGCCATCACCATTCCAGATAAGTTTCCTATTCTGGTAGTTGAGGAATTATTAGATGAACTATTTGGGTCTTATTCTTTCTCCAAATTAAAATCCAGATATCGTTAAATTCGTATGAAAGTAGAAGATATATTTAAAACAGCTTTTTGAACACACAAGGGCCACTATTAATATTTAGTTATGTCTTTTGGATTAATGAATGCCCCATCTACTTTCCAATCTACTATGAACATGATTTTTCATCCATATTTTTTAAAATTTGTGTTGGCGTTCTTTGATGACATCTAGGTATATGGCCAAGATTGGTCCTCTCATCTGGAATTTGAGTCATGAACTACAAGTATTAGAGGAGCATCAATTTGTAGCCAACAAAGGAAAGTGTTGTTTTAGAAGAAGGCAAGTTGAATATTTGGGACATTTTATCTCCTCTGCTGGTGTACAAGTAGATAGAAATAAGGTGAAGAGTGTCTTGAAGTGGCATATCCCAAAGAATGTAAATGCAGTATGTGGGTTCTTAGGTTTGACTGGTTATTACAAAAGGTTTATAGCTGGTTATGGGAAGGTTGCTAAGCCCCTTACTGAGTTGACCAGGAAGGACGGATTTACTTGGGGACCCACAGCAGAGAAGGCATTTAATTCCTTGAAGGAAGCTTTGGTGACAGCTCCTATTTTTAACCCTTCCTAATTTTGAGGAGAGGTTTGAGATTGAATGTGATGCCTCAAGTACCGGTCTTGGCATGGTTCTTATGCAACAATGCAGACCAATAGCGTATTTTAGCAAGGCCTTGTCTGAGGGGCACTTGGCTAAATCAACATATGAGAAACTTGGGAGCTTTTGGTTCAGTGGAAGGGGGAGGATCAAGTTGTTTTGTAGAATTAGTTTTCACATTTGAGCCTTGAGGACAAGGCTGTTTCTTGGAGTGGAGGTATTTGTTAGAACTGTGGTAGAGGAACATATGATTGATGTCAATAAGAGATCTAAATTCTAAAGTATGGAAACTTGGAAAGTTTATTTTAGGAGGAAGGGTAGAAAAGAGTCAGCTGCAGAAGATAAAGATACGGCTTAGCTAATGTTAGTTAGTTTGTTAGTATTGATAATACAATTAGTTTGTTAATATTGCTAGCTGAAAGGTAGACTCTATAAATAGAGAGTTAGTTTCTTGATTGACAGATTGTCAATTCTGTTGGTTGTTTTGGAGAGAATTTCATTCTCTCTTTAGGAGCTGTTAGCTCTGGGGGATTCTTTTTTAATCCTAATTCTTTTTAGTGATCAATAAAACTATCATTTTCTTCAATTCTCACCTTGATTTTATCTTTGAACCCTAACATTGTAACTATCTAATTAATATATTATAACTAACTATTAATATGTCTCTAGCTAACATTATAGCTAACTACTAATGGGGGTTACCTAACAAAACTTTCTTCCTAAAGTTTCACCTTCCTTGTCCTCAAGGTGAAGGATTAAGTAAGTTTCTTGAGTAGTTGCTGAAAGAAAGTCCAATTGATGTTCCAATTGATTGAAGCATGATAACCATTCCAATTCATCTTGCAGCCAAAAATAGCTTCCACTCCTCCTGGGTCAAACACAAACGTGAATGCATCCAATCTCTTCCAATACTTTGTTTTCTTTTGTATCTTTAATCCTGAAACAGAGTATCATTGCCTTTGCAAGTGCACTAAGAACCCAAGGTTCTATTGATAATTGTACTATTGCAAATGGCAGACGCTCATAACTATCAAAAGTTCTTCACTACCTTCTGCTGGGTCTGGTCTTTTATGTCAAGAATTTGATTCCATTTCTTAGAAGTCCCTTTTTGTCATCAACTCAACTGAATATGCATCACTTATCCCTGCAATCTTTTCTACAATATGATTGGTTCCCTGCACCTCAATTGCTGGATTCTTCTATGCTTCTGTCTTTGTGTGCTCTTTCCAAGCCTTGGGTCACCTTTCATATTGTGTTCCATCATTTTTTTGAGTGCTGCTATGGATTGCCTCATCAAATTCATCTGTCCGGCTGCATCTCATCAAATTGCTTCTTCAACTTGTTCGGAACCATCTTCTTGCTTTTCCCAACTGTGTTTCAGGTGATCTCTGTCCAAGAACTTGATATTCCTTCAAGAATCTCACATAGCTCAACCACTTGAGTGATGAAAATTTACAACCACTCCAGGTTGAAATCAACTACTAAAAGGTTGGAAGCAAGAATTGAGATGTTTCCTCACCCACAGCTCTGATGCCGGTGATAGAAACTGGTATTTTTTTTAAGAAATATAAGAAACTCCCAACATTACAGAACAAAACGAACACTTAACAGTTCTCCGAGGAACTGCACCTCCTAAGCTAAATGCCCCAACTCTCCCACAATTGACAAGCTGACCTCTCTCTCTTCCTCCCTCTTATTTATAGAGCACATATGCCTTATTTCTTCTACAATCTCAACCATCCCAAATTACTAAGGGCTAACTAACTAATATATTATAACTAACTATTAATACGTTCCTAACTAACATCACAGCTAACTAGTGATGTGGGTTACCTAACAACTTCACTCCCATTTGACTCCCATCTATCATGCATTCATTATTTGATGGCACATTTTTATGTTAAGTGCAACTATGCAATGGTTTAACTTCCAAAGAATTCACGTCCTCTTCAGTGTCCAGTTTCTTGTGGTTTTGTTTTTTTTTTATGTGTGACAAATGATATGCTGCAACTTGCTTATCTAGATGCCCAGTGGCACAGTAGAGAAGATGTAAGAAAAGCTCTGACATTTGCTGAATACAAGAAGGCCCAAAAAACTGCAGCAGCAAAGGTAGAACAAATGTGTAAGGGAGTAGAAAAAACTCACAGCTTGGCAACAGATTTCAATGTGGAAAGTGGTGAACTGGCTCCAATGTTTGTTCCTGGACCCTTTGCAATAGCCCATCATCTTATTTACTCTTGGGCATTCCCAGATCAAAATGTAAATAGCGATGAATGCCCTTCAAAACAACCTAGTGGTTCTGTGTCAAGTTTGTAGGACAAAAATTATTTTCAAGGCATCTTTGGTTGTAAAGCTTATTTTATTATCGATACTTATCTCGCAAAAGTGAAGGGTGTTCCGTGCATAGATGAATTCTCGTATCAAATTGTTGTGAAGATTCTGCAGACCTAGAATTAAAGAGATCAACCTTCCATTTTCATATTAAACTTATGTTCTATAATATTATTCATCATAATACTGACTGCATTCTGCTAATGTTACATTTTCTTGTTTATCTTGTGACTGGTCTTATCATGTGACTAGAAAGCTTAAGGCTCTTCCGCCAAACGCACGAGCCACATATATTAGATCATGTTATTTCTTGTGCTTGGTATGATACCTTTATGCAGGGTCAATTTTGGACTATTTGGTTGTTCCGATGTTTGACTTGGTGGTTCTACTTGTCTGTAATTTGATACCATTTTGTGGTATGGGAATGTTGATAATCAAGCACTGCTTAATACGATGGAACTAGTTGCCTCTATCAGAAGACGCGTTTTCTCTCAACAAAACTATTTTGCTAGGGCGTATCTACTTGTGAACTGACAAACAAGTCCTTTTTTCAATTAAATATATAATTTCTCAAGTCTTTTGGTCTATCTATGAAGTAAGCAACTAAGATGTATTTAACACTGAATTTTTATTGAAGTCTATACTTTATATTAAAGTAATTGTTAGACAATATATGTGCACATATAGTGTACGTCTGTGTGGAGATGGGACAATAACCTGATAGAGCTATCCTGTAATAGCAAAGCACAACACATTTATGAGGAAAACGTTGAACAAAACTCCCGGAGCCATATTTATTATTTACTCAAGTTGATGAACAGTCTTCAACTCCTCATCATTTTAACTTAATGAAGTTGGGTACATATATATTAAGTGTGGAAAATGGTTAGTAATTGTTGATTAACAAAGGAGGTATATATATATATATATATATTAATCCTTTTAAATATTATTTAATCTACATCTGAATAATGCAAAGAGATACTTATATATATAGTGTTCATTAAACATAATCACTACAATGGTCATAACAGCTAGTTACAATTGAAGCTTTACTAGACTAGTCAGATAAAAAAGCTTTACTATCAACTTTACTAACATACTAACATTGGTCACGATAGCAGAATATTGTACTGCAAATAGACTTGGTGAAAACATCAGGTATGTGATCATGAGACAATTGTGTTAAAATTATCAGTACACAATTAGAGTTAGTATGGTATAAGTTCTTGAAGTAGATATTGACACCACAATTTCTGTTAGTGTAGTAGCTAGACTACGATGTTCAACTTCAGTGCTGGAACAAGCAACTAATTTAAGCTTTCAAGATTACTAAGGAATTAGATTAGGTCCTAAATAAATAAAAGATCCAAAGGTTGAATGATGATCATCACGGTTTGTTGCCCAATCAACATCACAAAAGGTTCAATTTTGCAAGTTGATTTGAACAAGAAGCAAGTTGAAAGAGTAGGCTAAAAGTAAATGGATTTGGATTCTCTCTCATTCTAGACAAGAACTGAAACAAAAATAGACTCGCCTAAGCGAAAATAGAAAAAATGACAAACAAATTTTAACTCAAAATTCGTTTAAGCGAATTTTTTTTGTTTAAGCAAATTTTGTGTCTCCTCTCCCAACCTTTTGCTCTCCCTTTCTTTCTTCATGCTTAACACTCTTTCTTCAACTTTCATATCTAACCCTCCTCCTCCCATATCCAACTCTTCTCTTTCTTTCCCAACTCTTTCTTTTTCCACCTCATACCTAACTCTCCTCTTCCTCTTCCCACCATCACTCCACCCCCATACGTACCTCCCCCATCTTCATCCTTCACCTTCCTCTCCCTTCACCCCTATGCTTATACCACTTGTTCTCATCATCCTCATTCCCTTCTTTCCCCCACATTTAGCCTCCTTCACTTCCCTCTTATAAGAAGGGTGCAAAATTCGCTTAAGAAAAAAAATTCACTTAAATAAAAATAGAACTAGACGTCTAGTTTGTTCTACAATGGGAGAGAATCCAGATCCACAAGTAATTGTGTCTTAAAGATATCTAAGGATCTTCTTAACTAGTTTTCAATGACTCATAACGAGATGAGAGAGAAATTAACAGGCCTTGTTAACATTGAGACTGATTTCAAGTCTAGTGATTATAACATAATAAAGAGTACCAACGATGGACCTATAGAGATTAAAGTGTTCTATGTTGTTTTGAACCACACTTGGATAATTTGGATCTTTCAACCATGGTTGTACTAATGTCATGCACATATTTTGTTTGACACAGTGAAATAAAATAGTCAGCATTCTCTAATTGCTTTAGAACAAATGTTGAGTTGATCTTTGTTATTAGTTGTTGAATCAAGCTTGGAGAATTCCTAGTGAACATCATCCACATGAATTAGGATATAGATGCAGCGTGTAGAAGTAGAGAGAATGAACTAAGAAGAGTCACATTTGCACTTATTAAAGCCAAGACTATGAAGTGTGGTTTCTCAAACCATGTTATAAGAGCCTATTTTAAGTTATTTGTTGTTAAATATATATAAATATGTTATTTAGGAAAATAGTATATATGTAATTATAATAATTAGACAACCGTATATTTGTTTTTAATTATGTAGTTATGATTATGATTATGATTATGATTATGATTATTGTTGTTAATATAAATATACATTTCGTGGTGTAATTGAGACACATGAAATTCATCTCATGCCTTCTCGTTTTCTCTCATCTTAACATGGTATCAGGAGCCTAACGAGGAGAAAACTCAAAAATGTGCTTAATCCATCCTTTTTTTGTGGGCTCACTGCTCATAGGTGTAAATTTTCTTTTTTAGAAATTGTCTCAAGTTTCTAATTTTTTTTCTAGTAGTCTCGTCCACCAACTGCCATTGTTCACCACCGCTAACAACTTTTTCGATGTGCTTTTTTTATTAGATTCTCACCACCACCGATGTCGCCCCACTGTGTGCAACACAACTTGGTCACTGTGTCCGAAACGAAGCTCCTACACACCCACATGTGCCACCTCCTTCGCCAATGACTTTCTCTCTCCGCTGCCACCCCTGCCACATGTGACAACACATTTGGTGACCTTTCGGCCTCTTTTTTGCCAACTAGACTTGCCTTTCCAAGGCAGTTCTAGATTTATGGTCCTTTTTCTTCCTTTAAATCTCAAACATTGTTGTTTGCCCCATTTTGTGCTGCTTTGTTGCATTTCTCTCTCTTCTAGGCTTACCCATGACGACTTCAACTTTTTCCAAACTTGAAGCTTCAATTTTCACCAACTTTGTCACTGCTCCACTGTTTACTAACAAGTTGGACGACAATAACTATGATGCTTAGGCTTTTGACATCAAACTTTGGCTCAAGGACTGAGATTATCTTGACCTTCTCACTACCAAAGAAAAAATTGTGCCTGCGACTAAACGTGCTAAATGGAGTAAGATTGATGCTCAACTTTGTAGTGTCATCAAGTCCATTATTCATCTTTCTGTGAAGCAGATTTTTGCTCCTATGATACGTGTGATTTTGTTTCGTCACAAGCCAAGTCGCTTTACATTAATGACATATAAAGTCTATATAGAGTATGTCAAACCCTAATGGATGTTGTTGCGACTTGGAAACTTGATGGCACTCGACCTATTTAGGTAGTATAAGTGGTCTTCTTCATGATTTTAATGAACTTTTGCTTCCTATTACAACTACTACGAAATTAGAAAATCATAAGACATTTTTATGTTACTAACTTTTTATGGTTTACCTATAGAGTACTCCTAAGTTTGCGATCAAATTTTAGGCTCCACTTTTGCTCCTACTATGGCTACTGCTTGGTCCTTTTTGCTACGCATTCTTACCAAGGTCACTACTACCTTATACATTCTTCTGGCTCCTATGTCATCTACTCCTTTTGACTATTTTGCCCTGATTTCACAGGGAGGTGATCGTGGTTGCTGTTGAAATTCTAGTGTAAATACCAAAAACAACTTGTCATATAGTAATGAGTTGAGTATTGTATCCATAGGGAACAACATGATTAAATTCTCTCAAACATATAGTTCTTTAAGTCATTTATAATAAGGGTGAGTTTGAAGTAGGTTCTTTTCAGTAATATTGCAATTGGTCATGTTCTGCTTTTTATGTCAATAAACCAGCAGAAATAGAGAGAAGTACTCCCAGGCTAGTTATCAACTATAAACCCCTCAACCAAGCTCTCTAGTGGATTAGGTATCCTATTCCCAACAAAAAAGATCTTCTTAACAGATTAAATTTTGCCAAGATCTTTTTAAAATTCGATATGAAATCTAGATTTTGACAAATCCAAATTTGTGAAAGTGATAGGTATAAGACTGCCTTCATTGTCCTTTTTGGGCATTACGAATGGAATATTATGCCCTTTGGTCTGAAATGCTCCTTTTGAGTTTCAGAAGATCATGAATGATATCTTTAATCCTTATTCAAAATTTGTCATTGTTTACATTGACGATGTTTTAATCTTTTCTCAGTCCATTGACCAACATTTTAAACATATAAATATTTTTATCAATGTTATTAAACATAATGGATTAGCTGTTTCAAAGTCTAAAATCAATCTCTTTCAAACCAATATCAGATTCCTTGGTCACAATATTCATCAAGGAACTATCATTCCTATCAGCAAATCCATTGAATTTGCCAATAAATTTTCTGATAGAATTCTAGATAAAACCTATTTACAAAGATTTTTGGGATGTCTTAATTATGTGGGTGATTTTATTCCTCGCCTCAACAATATTATTAAACCTTTACATGATAGGCTTAAAAAGAATCCTCCTTCTTGGACTGATGTTCATACCAATGTCGTCAAAGAAATAAAAAATAGAGTTAGGAAGATAAATTGTCTTTATCTCCCTATTCCTCAAGCCTTTAAAATTGTTGAAACTGATGCCTCTGACATAGGTTATGGTGACATTCTTAAACAAAGAGTTAAGTCGCATGAGCATATCATTGCATATACTTCAAAACATTAGAATTCTGCACAGCAAAATTACTCAACTGTTAAAAAAGAAGTTTTAACAATTGTTTTATGCGTATCAAAATTTCAATCAGATTTACTAAATCAAAAATTTCTTATTAGAGTAGACTGCAAGTCTGCTAAAATTTTTTTACAAAAAGATGTTAAAAATCTTGCCTCAAAACAAATCTTTGCAAGATGGTAAGCAATTTTAAGTATTTTTTATTTTGACATAGAGTATCTCAAAGGCACTTTCAATTCCCTTCCTGACTATCTTATCTGTGAATATTTACAGGATAAATAAGATGCATAGAAAGGCAACAACCGCATCCGGGGGGGTACGTCCAGAGGAGGAAAAGTTAGGCTAGCCCTGACTCTTAACAAATCAAAGTCAAAGTCTGCCTCAGCAGATTCTTGTTCAAACTCTTCGAAGTCATCCACTCCGACTGGGTTATCTACCCAGAAAGCCATCCAGATTGTAGAGTCATCTACTCAACAATCTGTGATTTCTAAAAAAGACTCATCTAACAAGGCTGATTCTTTACAATCACAAACCAAAAGTGTTAAATAAACCAAATCAGACTATGCTTTTCCTGTTAACACACTCTTAGCCATCCAACAAGGAAGCCTAAACACTCTACCAAAAAAATCCTGGGTAGACATAGCCTCTGATGAAGATATGGAAATTGATTTAGTAAACCTAAATACCATAATCCAGTCTTTTAGTCAATCTCAAAAAACAATAAGTCTCCCTGAGAAAACAGAAAAAACTATCAACCTTCAGAAAGATAAGCTAAAAGCCTCTAATGTCAACCATTATATGGCAAAAGGAAAATTCTCCTTTGTCATCCAAATGGAACCCAAATTTTGGGACAAAAATTCTTACAAAGCCATTACCAAAGCCTTCCCTCCTGGTTTTCATTTCAGACCATATGCTTTAAATAAAACCAAACAATTTTATGAATTCATCCTAATAGATTCAGATTCTGTTTCTATTAAACATTACAAGGACCAAAAAGATCCTTCAATTATTACTCATTCTACAATACAGATATTAAAAATTCTGTCACCAAAGAATTTTGGAAAAGATCCAAATTCATTCAAGAAATTTTCCCAACCCTTTGATCCAGTAGGATACAATTACTGGGATTACATTGATGCCTGGACAAGAAACTTCTGGTTCCAAAATAAATTCAATCGACATTCTTGGTTGATTTATTTTAAGAAAAATCAAAATTACAATTTTCCAAACTAGCCCCTTCAATGGTGGGACTTCTTTGGACCTCTAGAAGCAATCCTTCCCTCTCCCGTAAAAGAAGGATTTGAAATATTCAAGACTAGATATGCTCCTAATAGAATCAGTGCAGATCTCAAATATTTCTTTGCTTTTGCTATGGCTTGGGTATTCTCATGGCAGTACAGATACAACAAGATAGAAGATGATGACATTCTTCCTATGATTCACAGACATGCTTTTGTGAAGTGGTGGAATCAATTCAATGCAGAACATGCAGATCCACAAGGAGTTAATGAATTTTTTGGAAACAATCCAAAACTCCTGAAGCTTGCTGATCCAACAACTTTTCAATTTTTGAATCAAAAAGCAAAGATTGCAGCCTTTTTATCAGGATGTGATTCCAAAGATAAAATGAAGAAAAATTTAAAAGAAGTACTTCTCCTTTTAAATCAAGATGAAGCTGAATCTTTTACAAAACAAGATTCCAATCCAAACAAAGATGAAGACTTTTATCAAAATGAAGATGATTGTTTCGGAATAGACATACATGAACTATGACCTATTCTGTAGAAATAGTTCAAGTTACTAATCAGAACTGTACAAATAGTATATTTTCTTTTCTATATAAGGAGTCTTCAACCATGTTGTGAGACACCCTTTCATTTAGCAACATAAGAGAGTTTTTAGAGAGAGAAGCTCCGAGTGATACTTTTCCTTGTAAGCCTTTCTCTTTGAGATCTTTTAATAAAATTTTGCTGTCTCAACTTTATTTTCTCTCTTCTCCCTCTTAGTCGGTTCTGTTCAGACTACCGTCGTCCGACTTTCTTCTCTTCTCTCCCCACTAGATCTGTGCTGATTTTACCACCGTTCTAGTTTCTATGTTTTAAATTTACATCTTCATATTCTGCATTTTTACTTTCTGCATTTCTTTAAAGTAATCCTGCTACTGCCTACTTTCCTTTCAGTCTTATTTCTTCTATCTCTCTCTCTCTTTCTCTCTCTCTCTCTCTCTCTCTCTCTCTCTCTCTATATATATATATATATATATATATATATATATATATATATATATATAGGTGAATTAGTTAAAATACATTAGGGGTTCATGATTACATTCAATTCCAAGAGGAAGATTAGCTATTCATGACAACCATTACAAGGATTCAGCAAATTAATTGATTAATATAAGATGAATGAGAAAGATTTTGAGTATTCTCACTCTTCTCCTTTGAGTGCTCTATGGTTCTATCTCCAAAAAATGTCTTAAAAAAACTGAGTTTAGTTGCAGGTCGTTTTAAATATGCTTCAAAGGAAGTGTGTGACATCCTTAATTTTTAAGTTCTGTATATGTAATAGTTTAAGTCAAAACTAATAAAATAAAATAAAATATTCATTTGTTGTGAACATATAATACATATATGGGAGCAGATTAAAACTTTTCTTGTGAATAACTCCATTCATAAATGAATATTTTAAATTTCTCTTACTTTATAAATGAATATTAAATCATATTAACCTCATTGAATTAGAAATAAGTATACAATAGAGACTTAAAAACTAAAAATTTCTTTAGTGAAAATTTACCTAAATGAATTCGATCGGTAAAGAATCAGACAATGTAAAATATAAATAAATATCCAAAAATTTTATTTAAAAAATTTAGAATATCTAAGATAGTTTTATATAAATTATAAGAAGTCTACAAAGAAGAAAAATAAAAATAAATAAAATTACAAAATTAAACTAAAATGACCAAAATACTCCTAGAAAGACCTAGAATGTTAGTCTATTTTGAGTAAGGAAATGACCATGAAAAATTTTGAAATTTTTATGGAAGTTATTGGAGCAAAAAAGGTTATATTTGTTCAAGAAAAAAAATCCAAAAAACCAAGTAGAAAATTCAAACTAAATTCCTCATAAACAGCCCACACATGATGTGGTAAATAGTCCATTTTGTGCTAATCATACACTTTCCCATCATTTCATATCATACATCATCAATCAATGACATATCTACACACATTTCATTTACATTCTCAATCACTTTATATACAAACATTAGATTTTCACACAAATCCTACCACAATCAAGTCGCTACATCACACTCAATATCAACCAACATAGAATATATCATATCCAGCACAAAATACCCATCAACACACGTGTTTCTACATCCTATTTCAATCATATTGCCACACATAGCATAATAAACGAATTTCTACCAAAATCAGATAGGGTAGAGTCTCCCCTTACCTCAAATCGAAGACCCACAACGTAAATTGATAATGGAAGTGTCTTCCACACAGATTTCGTCCTAAATACATGGAAAAATTCCATGAGAATTCAAAAAGGACTAAGAAAATGGAAAATGAGATCGAGAAACCAAAACCTTAACCACGAAAACTTACCTCCAAACGCCCCAAACATGAATCCAACCTTCAATGTTACTCTAAAACGGCCTTGAAGGCAATTTAATCGGTAAAATAGGATTTAAGATTGAGAGAATCGTGAAAGAAGGGAAGGAGAATGTAAAATAATTCAGACCCTCTCGCTACAGCGAGATTGCACCCAGAATTGCACTCTCCATTGTCGCCCTCTTGCTGCAGCGAGGGAACTCTCGCTACAGCGAAAACGCAACAATTGGTCCCCTCTCTCCCAGTGCCTTCTCACTACAACGAGAATGACACAATTTCATGCTCTTCGCCCAGGGCCTTCTCGTTACAGCGAGAACACCCTGCAGCACCCACACTTAGCCTGCATATATATATATATATATATATATATATATATATATTCAATCAGTCTAGCACATTCAATCTCAATGCACAATCGGCATCCACATTTATTATATATACACATATTCATCTACATCATATTCATATTAAACTCATCACATAATTAATCAAGTACACATTTCAACATCCATTCATATATATTTACATATATATTAACAATCAATATTACAAAATTCGGGACGTTACATGCTTTTTTTTTTCTTGGCTGAATCTACTTAAGTGTTATACAACTATACTCTCCCACATATGCCAAGTGTCTATTCTTCACACTGTTCCACTTTGAGTTTGTCTTGCATAGTTAAAGTGACCACAAAATTCCAAGACCTTAATTACTTCCATAATTTTTATTTGTACCTTGATTCCGTGTCCAATTGCATATTAATTATTATGGTTCTTTTCATAGTTCCCTTAGTTCATTTTATCATACTTTCTACTCTATTTTCAAGGATATATGGCACATTTCCCTTCTTCCAATTTGATGGAAACTAATTTTTAACTTTAGTCAAGATTCTTTACCATTCCTATGTTTACTTTGGTTGATTTGTCTTCTTTTCTCAATGGTTCTCTCATCTAGATGGGATAGCATCTAAATTGTATGTACAATGACTTGGTCTTTTATGAATCTTGGCCGTGCAAGTGGTCTTCTTTTGGGTCATTGAATCGTTGTAAAAGTTTTCCATTTTTTTGTCCACTTTTTACGTCTATTGCATGCTTAATTTGCAAGAGTTTTTTTTTTTGTTTTTTTTTTTCTTTTGGAGCTCCTTCTGCACATCCAACTTGCCATTATACTAGGCTAAGTGTGGTAAAATTTTGGGCTTAAAACCATTCTTAACACATACAAAAAAGGTAATCATTCTAAGGCTTATTTTAACCTATTTTCTTGTTTTTTTACTAGTTTTGCAACTCGTGTTTTAATTCCTATTTTTTTCTTCTAACAATTAAATATAGTCTTTGTATATCATATCATGGATAATTGAGAATTAACTAATTTGATTTATAAAAATAATTGTCACTTTTAATTAGATCATATTATACTTTATTTCATAATTCTTCTTTATTTAGTCTAGTTTTGAGTCAATTTTATTATTTGTGTTTCAATTTTTAATTTTCTATCTAAACTCATTTTTTTAATTCAAAAGGTAATCAAATTGTTAATTGAACAAAGAGTGATGAAAATTAGAAATATTACAATCTGAATTATTCTTTTATAATATTTTTTGATTTTATGCATTTTAAATATAGTTACATTCCGTTATGTTATAACTCTAATAAATAGTATTATAAATAAAGAAAATGGTGATGCTTAAATTAAAAAATAATACATAATAAAGATTGAATGATTTCGGTAAATTATATATATATTTTTTAAGAAAGAAACCTAAATATCATGTTTTTTGTTATAAATTTTTTTAGTAAGTACTCTTGTTCTTTAAGAAATTATTAATGTTACTTATAAATCTATTTTTATAATTTTAAACATCATATTGTTAATTTTAAATTTTTAATAAAGGAAATGTTTTAAACATTTATACAGATTTTTATGTTTAAGTAGGAATTCAAAATTAATTTCTAATTGATAGTCCCAGAGAAAAATAATTAACCCTAAAAAATTCATTTATATTAAATTAAACTAAGCTATAACATGTTAATTTCTCAAGAAAAGAAAGTATAATCTTAATGTAAAAAGTTTCTCCAAAGAAAAAAGTTGATTTCCTTAGAATGAATTATGCATAGGAATAATATTAAATAAAAAATTATTAAAATACTAAAAAGCCGGTGAGCTTTGACATAAAATGGGGTTGATCGTCCAAGTTTGCATTGCACTCTGTCTCTGGGGGCGTTTGGAATTTGTTCTATGCGTAGGTAACAGTGCTACTCTGAGTGAACGTGAAAATGGCTTCTGTTTTGAAGAGGCTTGCAAGAGCCACTCCCATTGCATTGTCGAGTGGCTTCGTTGCCAAATCGAATTCCTCTCACAATCACAAATACAGTAATTTCCGGTTACCATTCACTACTATAGCTGCCATTTCCGGTGGAGCCTCCTTCTTCTATTGCCTTTCCTCACCAAACCTGGTATCCTATCTATCTATCTATTCCTTTTTCTTCTTTTCAAATCTCACTTCGCTTCGTCGTTCATCCATTCATTTCGTTGCTTCCGTAATGTGCAACATTTCATTGCTACCTAACTGCGCTTTGGTCTTGTCACTTCTGAGTCCTTTTAAAAATTTAGGGTTCTATAAGACAATTTATTTTTCTTTTTGCTTTAATTTTTTACGTGATGTCATTGGCATCTCGCTATTGTTTGATAGATTTGTATTTTTAATGCACTTTGATCACAGTGTTTCGTTGCGTAGTCTGCGCTTTGTCCTTTATAATAATCAATTATTTGTCTGATCCATTTATTGTGGTTTGAATTTGTAGGTTCATTTAGAACAAGTGAAAGAAGAGAATAGTAGAGATATCGGTGAGTTTACGTAATATCACACAAATATTGCCGCTATGTATGCAGCTGTTTTCTGTATCTATAGTGTGTTGGATTGCTCTTTACAGATTCATTATGATAGTAATTAAGGTATTGCCCTTCCATTGAAGACGGAATGGTGTTTTAATGTTTGCATTGTAGTTCCGTTCCTTCCACTTCTATTGCTTGATAGAGAAGATTCAGGATTTGTGCTTTTATTATTTTTTTATTATTCTAATTATTATTGTTATATTTGTTGTGTGTTCTTTCCAGCTCTGAGTCCTGATAAATGGATCAAATTTAAGTTGCAAGACACTGCTAGGGTCAGTCACAATACACAGTTATTCAGGTATATGCCGAAGGACAAATGATGAATTTGTGTGTGATGTGTTTATAATAGTTCAACATATTATGTCAAATATAATCAAATGTGTCTCTGTAGTTCGGCAATGCTGTTTTACTTTAGTTTTCTCCTATAACTTTCTTGACTTATCTTATAACATGTAATGTTTGTGCAATGTTGCCGATGTGGTGTGAAGTATGTTTGTGTTATGAACCGTTGCGTAGGACCTAGTCACAGGCCTAGATGTGGAATAACCCTTCTTGCAACCTGTAGTGAATATGGAATTTAGGGAAACAACTTGTCCTTGACAGAGCCTCTTTGGAGGTAATTAATTCTGAATATATTTGCATGTCCTTTATTGAATATACAATGGAGAGAAATCTAATTGATACAATTCTGTAGCAATTAAAAAAAGAAACAAATCCTAAATTTTTCCATAATCTTTGATGAATTTTCTGTATTACCCTGCTCACCCAAGGAACCCACGAAGAGCCTTGGTATGGTAGATTTTGGAGTGAGCCAATCAATAATGATGGCCTTAATTTTTGTTTCATTGACTTCTACTCCAAAACCATGGATGACATGTTCGAGATATGTGACCTGTGACTGGCCAAAGAGACACTTATATTTCTTTAAGAACAACATGTTAGTGCACAACAATTCAAAAACTAATCGTGCATGTCTATTTGCCGTTATCCGAGATTAACAACTATGGTACATGATGCATGTGTTCCACCCATGTTTTCCTATAAATTAATATGTAGTAAAAAAAAAAGTTTCATAAAAAAGGTAAAAAAACCTTATTCATCAAACTTTGAAAAGTTGAGGGAGCATTGATAAGGCCAAAGGGCATGACCTGAAATTCAAAGTGTCCATATTGGATTCAAAAGGTTGTCTTTTCCACATTAGATGGGACCATCCTAACTTGGTGGTAGCTTGACCGTAAGTCTCACGAGTGTTGCTCCCCATGGAGCTCATCGAGTAGCTCACCTACCACTGGAATCAGAAGCTTATCGGGAATTGAACTCATAGTAATCAACACAAAAGCGCCATGCCCTATCTTGCTTCTTGACCAAGAGGACTAGAGAAGATAATGGACATTTGCTGAGCTGAATGATCCCTTGTTGTAGCATCTGGGTACACTATTTCTCAATCTCATCTTTTTGAATGTGGGTACCAGTTTGGTCTAACTACGATTGGGCTTGATCCCTGTATAAAATGTATGCGCTGGTCACATTCTCGGATAGCGGGGAGGCCAGAAGGCTCCATGAATAAGTTTGCAAATTCATCAAGTAATTTATCCAAAACTACTGTAGGTGAATGTTGCTCCTATACCAAACTAAGTTGCGGTTCTGCTTTTGGAGGTTGTCCTTGCCACAACACTTTTTTTCCAATAAATACAAACTCTATGGTCAAGGAATGAAAGTCCCAAACAATTTGGCCGAGGGTGCACAGTCCTTTTATGCCTAAAATCAAATCAAACCCCTCTAATGGAATAGAGTAGAAATCAGCCAATAAGATGTCTATTGTAACTATGAATGGTAGACCTACAAATGCCCAGGCTTGTTAAGTGTTCCCCGTTGGCCACATCGATTTGCATGCAAACTTGGTCTCTTCAAAACTTCCAATCCCAACTTTGGTATTAAGCCTTCATGCACAAAATTATGGGTGCTGCTTGTGTCTATCAAAACTGAAAAAGTGATGCTGGATACCTGTGCTAGTAGCTGCTTCGTGTGAGTCATGAACCCCACTAATAGCATGTAAGGAAATTTGAGGATCTCCTATCACGTCCTCATCTGAGTCACTGTCATCACCTGCAACTTCAATCCAAAATACTCGTTTACAATTATGTCCTATCGATAGGATTCATCATAGTTATAGTGTAGTCCCTTAGTCCTCCTTTCTTCCATTTCTACTTTTGTTAATTGTTTACAAAATGGAGCGAAAGGAGCTACTCCATCATTGTTCTGAACAATTTTTTTTTGTGTCCTCCTCCTCCTCCCTCCCTCCTTCACATTAGAACTCTCGTTAGTGGAGATAAGAGAACTATTACAAGTGGGTTTGGTGGTTCATGAGGTTAGAGTTTCTTGAGAAACCCTTTGCTTTGTGTTCTAATGCCTAAGCCATATTCATGACAATTTCGAGGTTCTTTGCTGCTGCAATTCAATGTCAATTCTGAGTTCAACTAATCCAGCAGTGAAAAGGTTCACTTGTTGGCAGGGTTTAAGAACGAAAGTCTGAGCTAGGAATGACTAGATCAAATCCTCTACAAACCCCAACTGTTTCAAGTTTGCGAATTCTCCTGAGGGGTTGTTGCTTAATAGTGGGCCAAATCGCACATAACAATACTCCTTAAAATGCTCCCAGTCCAGTTCTGTCTCCTCCTGTTCCATATGATCAAACTACAGCAGTGCCTCACTGACGAGATGAAAAGCTGCTAAGCCCACCTTGTCTCTTTCAGCCATTCGTTGGTGGGTGAATAATCTTTCACATCATTTCAGCCACCCAAAAGGATTGCTCATGTCATCATAATTGGGAAATTCCATTTTAGAGTACTACTGTGGTACCATGGGTCCTCCTAACTATAGTTCTGCCTTGTCCTATGAATTTTGGCTACAGTCTCCAATTGACCCTTTTTCGGACCCACAAACTGTGATGGAAAGTTCTGCAAGTTGTTCTTCTATTGCATGCTGTCAGGTATTCATTTGTTCCATAAAAGCATCCAATTTGGCTGCCAAATTCTCCACATCACCCATGATGACCAGCTCCCGATGCCAAGTTGTAATGAGCCTTCGTGTAGGACCTAATCACAGGGTAGATGTGGAAGAACCCTTGCGACCTATAGTGAGTATGGAATTTAGGGAATAGACTCGTCCTTCACAGAGCCTTTTTGGTGGGTATTTAATTCTGAATATATTTGCATTTCCTTTATTTATTGTTAGTCCTTTTATAGATTGTTAATACAATAGAGAGACAAATCTAATTGAAATGGTTCTATACCAATTAAGAAAAGAAATAAATCCTAAATCAAGATAATAATATGATTGTATCTAATAAAAGGAAACATATCCTAATTGATGATCTTTTCAATTAAGAAAGAAAACAAATCCTAAATAAAGTAAGGAGATTTTGTTAAAAAAGAGGAAACAAATATATCTACTGCTGTGGTGATGCATCTTTTGCTGCTGTCTTCCTTTTTTGATATTGCTGTCCCACAAATGCATCCACATCCGTTTGTTTTTCCACAGAGGAGAAATTAAATTTTAACCCCGCTTGATCCTATTAAAATAAAAATCCCTATATGCTAATTTAGCTAAATGGTTGTCATTGAAGCTTTAGTTATACTTTTCCCAGCAGAATCTTGTCAAGTCCTTATGCTTATATCCTTGAAATAGTACATCTTAACCAGTGAACTGGTTCCAAGGAGAAGTCGGGGTAAGGATTCGAAACATGTAAGCAAAGTAAAACATTTAAATCTTAAATATCATATACAAATGCCTTGATTTCAAGCCTAACTTATCTTATCTGATTAATAGTTAATTGTGTTTGTGGTACTTCATCTTATATACCCATTAATAATTAATTTTTGGTTCATATCACATGCAATCTGTAGATTTAGTTAATTCAGTTATTCATGTCAGGACAACTAAAATCCATATCATAATCATAATATACACCACAGCTGAAGCATTAGCCGCTAATATGATTTAAATTAATTAACATCACACACAATCATTATCTATTAGACATCATAAATAACTGCAATTGAGTTTGATATTGCATTTTTATGACTATATCTTTCTCCTCTCTATGCCAGGTTTTCATTTGATCCCACTAAGACATTGGGTTTGGATGTTTCATCTTGCATTATTACAAGGTTTGATACATTGTTAATTATGGAGTTTGTTATGCCATTGGCATTGTATAAATTCAAACTGTGTTTTAATGTAATGTGACCTCCTATCATCTTATTTAATCTCAGAGCACCATTGGGACAAGATGCTGAAGGAAAACCAAAATACGTGATACGCCCGTAAGTTTTTCTGTTGAGACAACGAGTACACTACATCTGTTGAGACAATGTACTTTTTCCTTACCTGATAAATGATAAGGCAATTTTAGATTTATCTTTTGTAAATTTTTCCATGCCATTTTTCCTTGCCACATTCTCCTTTTTGTGTTTCTTTTGACAATGAATGTCTATGATTATCATTTGGGCTTTGAATTTGTATCATGTTAGATAACCCACAGTTAATAGCATAATTACTTGGTTATTGGGGATTGGGGGGATATTTAGAAAAATAAGGCATGCTGCCTATAAATAAGAAAAAAGGGGTTGAGAGAGAAAGGTATCCTGTCATTTGTGAGAGAGAACCACATCTCTCATATACCTGGGAGGTTTCTATCTATAAAGACAATCTTTCTTCAATATGTGAACAAGTTTCTATCAACCGTTATTAGAGCTTTGATCTTGAATCTATGGGTAGTGCATATTAAAGGATGCAAGAGCAGTTTAAGGTCGAGCACGAATGAAGCACATTCTTGACAATTGTTTAAGAAGTGAGGAAAGAGATTTTAAGTTTCAAGAGAGAACATCAAAGAATCCCAATACTTTGAGTTTGAAGAAGTGACGCGTATGGATGGCTGATTCACCTCAAGCTGTATTACACCATGAAAGGAATAAAAGGAGGGGAGGCAACATTTGGCTATGGAAGCGTTGGAAAGATGTGACTAACATTGGTGTACCTGTTGAGAGAGAGAGAAATGAGAAGACATAGGATGAGTCTATATGTTGGAACACATAGTAGAGATATCAATTTATAATAATGTACGACGATTACATAATATCTTCATGATATTCTGTTGTCTAAAATCACACCATCTATGATTATGCTATCTAAGATTATGTTATCTACAGTTACCTTATTGACATTATTCTCAACACTCCCTTTCAAGCTGAAGCATATAAATCATATACATCAAGTCTGTTACATATATAATTGATGAGACCTTGTTAAAGATCTAGGTTGTGTATGGGAACCATTTGCCATAGTGGTAAGGGTAAAGAATTAGAAAGAGAAAGAGTAATCAAAAGAGATTTATTACCATAATGTTATTAATGGATCCAAATTGATGAATGTCATAAGAGATAGATGGTGCCTGATGAGCAAGTAGTAGTCCAACAGAGTTACAAAGAGCCTGTGAAGAAGAGTGAGCCACATTGGTCGCATGAGAAGGGGAACCATGAAGAGTATAGCAAAGATCATTGGTATGACCAAGCTTATAACAATGGTCACATTCAGGGTGAGATTCACTAGGTTTGTGAGAGCGAGTATGATCACCCTAATGAGACACCAAAGCAGAGGAGTTCAGAGAAGGAACAGTGAAGTTGTGGTTGCTTATGGTGGCATGTGAGAGCTCTGATGAAGGTGGGATTAGTTGCGTTGGTTGGTGCAGGTGATGATGGTCTAGATCTAAATTCAAAGATTAGAAAAGTAGTTGGAAAATGGTGGCAGCTGGTGGTGAACAGTATTTGACGCGGAGAAAATGCCGAAAAACTGACCAAAAATTGAGAACAAGGTAGTTTCTGAAAAAAATTTATACCAATGGCCAATGGGTCAATGGGAGTGCACGGATTAGGAATACTCTCTTGTCAAGCTTTAGATACCATGTTGAGAGAGAGATATGAGAAGACGTAGGATGAATCCATGTATGGAAGTACATAGCAGACTATCTATTTATAATAAGAGAATGTTTTGCTAATATCTGAATCAGTGTCTATGATATCAATATTGTTATTAGCTTTAGTAAGTAAGATTGGAAAGAAGCATATACTTTATTCTACTTTGGTAAATGATAAGGCATTTATATTCATCTTGTGTAGAAATTAAGAATGAATATAGAGAGAGACAGATTAATATGCTGGAATTGGAAGCTCTACAACATGTAGAGAGTCTTATATTTATAAAGATACATATGTAACCTTACTGGGCCAAGCTCATTATTATAATACTAAAATAAACCCTAATCCTAACACATTTATTATAGCTATTTATAACACCCCCCTCAAGGTGAAGCATAGATATTAATCATGCCTAGCTTGTTACAAATATAATTGTTACGTGTCCCATTTAAAACCTTTGTAAACACATCTGATAATTGGTCGCCTTTCCTAATATGAGAGATGGATATAAGCTTCTACTGAACTTTTTATGGAATAAAGTGACACTATCTCAATATGTTTCGTCCGTTCATGAAAAACTGGATTTGAGACAATGTGTATCGCGCTGCTTGGTTGTCACACCAAAGTTGCATAGGCTTAGTGCTACCAAATCCTATCTCTTCCAACATATGTTTCAACCACATTAACTCACAAGTAGTCTGAGCCATTGCCTTGTATTCTGATTCCGCACTTGATCTTGATACAATGTTCTGCTTCTTACTTTTTCACAAAATTAAATTACCCTCCAAGAACACACAGTATCCAGTAGTAGATTTTCTGTCCATAGATCCTCCCCAATCAGCATCAGAAAATGCCTCTATCTGTGCATGTCCATGATCTTTGTACACAATTCCTTTTCTTGGTACTTTCTTCAAATACTTCACAATGCGAATTAGTGTTTACCAATGAGTATTCGTCGGCGATGACATAAACTGGCTAACAACACTCACTGGAAAAGCAATATCCGACCTTGTGACAGTCAAGTAATTTAGCTTGCCTACTAATCTTCTGTGTTTTTATGAATCTGTAAAAGAAACTCTATTTGCTGTCAGTTTCACTGCTAGTTCCATAGGTGTCTCACATGGTTTAGCTCCTTTTAGTCCCGTATCAGTCAATAAGTCTAAGACATTTTTTCTCTGTAAAAGGAAGATTCCTTTCCTGGAGTACGACTTTAATACCCAAAAAATATTTCAAAATTCTTAAGTCTTTTGTCTAAAACTTGGTTTGAAGAAATTTCCTTAAGTTGTTGATTCCTTCTTTGTTGCTACCTGTAATAACAATATCATCAACATAAACAAGTAAAATACAACCATGGTTAATCTGTTTGTAAAACACTGTATGATCACTCTCACTCCTCACTAATCCAAATTCTAGAATCATGTCACTGAATCTCTTAAATCATGCTTTAGGTGATTGTTTCAAGCCATATAATGACTTTTTTAAACGACACACTCTTCCACACTCCCCCTGAGCAACAAAGTCAGCCAGATGGTTGCTCGATGTACACCTCCTCCTGTAAGTCTCCATTTAAGATTGCATTCTTGACATCTAGCTAGAATAATGGCCAATGATGCATAGCTGCAAGAGAGATGAAGATGCGAACAAATGAGGGTTTAGCAACCGGAGAAAACGTATCAGTGTAGTCAAAGCCATAAGTTTGGGCATACCCTTTTGCAACAAGGCGTGCCTTCAAGTGAGCCATAGAACCATTTGGATTAACTTTCACAGTGTAAACCCACTTACAACCAATAGCCTGTTTGCCCTCAGGAAGAGGAACCAAATCCCAAGTATCATTCGTCTCAAGAGCCAACATTTCTTCCTCCATAGCATGTCTCCAACCATCATGACTGAGAGCATCTGCAAGAGTCTTAGGAACAAAGAGAGAATCTACACCAGCCATAAAGGATTTAGATGTAAAGGATAAATGAGTAGACGTCACATAAGATGAAATAGGATATGTGCAAGTTCTCTTACCTTTTTAGATAGCAATAAAAAGGTCAAGATCAGACAAAGGATTTGTTGACACTTGAGGAGATAATGGTAGATGTTGAGTATCATTTTGAATATCATTAGCCACGGGGGGCACATTATCTAAAAGCTGTTTTGGCCAGTGAGAGTATGTCTGCTTAAAGAACTTGAAACTTGTATCAGTAGGAGTCAAAGGGGCAACAAGATGTGTAGATTGGATAAGAGTATAAGTCAAAAAAGGTTCATCTACCTCATACATGGACTCAAAAGATGAGGACTTAAAGAATGGAAGACCTTCAAAGAAAAACACATCAGAGGAAATAAGATACCGACCAAGATTAGGTGAAAAATAACGGTAACCTTTTTGTGACCGAGAATAACCCAAAAATACACATTTAAGGGACTTTGGATCAAGTTTAGTTACTTGAGGACGAACATTAAACATAAAACAAGTGCAGCAAAAAACTTTAGGAGGTAAAGAAAAGAAAGATTGTGATGGGAAAAATATAGAGTGGGAAATCTCACCATGTAACAGATGATGACATGCGATTAATTAAATATGCAGCAATAAGAACAACATTAGCCCAAAAAGGTTTAGGAACTTTAATTTTAAACATTAAAGTACGATCTACTTCCATAAGATGACAATTTTTATGTTCAGCTACTTCATTTTGTTGTGGGGTAACAATAGAAGAAGACTGATGAAGTATGCCATATTTATTCATAAAATTAGTGAAGGATGCAAAAAAATATTCTTTAGCATTATCACTTTTAAGAATGCGCACACAAGTATTAAATTGAGTTTTAATTTCAGCACCGAAATTACAAAATATAGAAAAGACTTCAGATCTAGATTTCATCAAAAACAACCATGTTGCATGAGAATAATCATCCACAAAGGTAATAAAATATTTAAAACTAAATTTAGAAGTAATTGGACAAGGGTCTCAAACATCAGAATGAACAATTTCAAAGGGGGCATGAGCTCTTTTATTTAAATGAGGTAAATAAACATTACGATGATGTTTAGCAAACTGACATGACTCAATAAAAATTAAACTCTATACTAGGACATAATTTCCTAAGAACTCCTAAAGACAGATAACCTAGACGGTAATGAAGTTAGAAAGGAGACATTGTTTCATTCCTAGACACAATAGAAGCTTGTGGAAGTCCTTCTTCTTCCAATAGATACAGCCCATTAGATACCTGACCTCTACCAATAATCCTCTATGCCACCAGATCCTGAAAAACACAAGAATAAAAAAAGAATGTTACTGAGCAATTTAATGATGAAGTGATTTGGCTAATGGACAACAAATTTAAGGAGAATTGAGGCAAATATAAAACAGAAGACAAAGATAAGGTTGAAACTGGGGTGGTACACCTGTTGCCCTTAATATGGATAGTAAAACCATTGCGAGTGTTATAGAAGAATGAGAATTGGGTAGACAAAAAGAGGAAAGGATACCTGAATCTTCAGTCATATGATTAGTAGTGCTAGAATCAATGACCCAACGCTTGGAAGAAGAGAAAAGAGATGGCGAAGGATTACCTTTTTGACCAAAGTGGCTGTAAAGGATGTAGATGGTTGTTGAGAAGTCTGAAACTGAGTATACTGAATAAATTCCTCATCTCTCATACACACAGTACGTCCTTCTTTCTCCTGAGTAGCTGTATCAGGTTGAGACGCCAAGTTAGCGAATCAAGAATTATCTTGTGAATGAATAAACGACTGATTCTGCGGAGAATGAGTGCACTGATTCCGATAATGGCTAAATTCGCCACAGTTGTAGCACTGTACAATACTATGACCTCCACTACATCCACGGCCACGACTATCTCTACCACCTCTATCACCATTGCGACCACTACGGTGGCTGTATTGGGCTGCCACGGCAGAGTGGTCAAGAGACTCATTTTCTATAGTGCTCTTGAATTCCTCAAAGGAAGACTACATAACTTTGAAGAAGACATCGGTAAGATTATCAACCTGCTTGCTTGACAGAATTTCAGACTGAACTTTATATTCCGGATCAAGTCCGGAGAGCCAACTCAAAGTCATGAGTTTCTTTTGTTATGCTATCATCTTGCAATAGTTTTGCAGGCTAAAAGAGATTGTATTTCCTCAGTATGCTTCTTAAACTCCAAAAAATAGTTTATTGAGTTCTGCTTATTTTGTCTGGATTAATAAACTTCCTGCAAGAGAGCATATAATTGATTCAAATTATCAGATTTTTCAAAAATAAATTGCAAAAAATCCCACAACTCCTTCACGATTTTGCAATGGGTAATAATTGGTTGTATTCGCCTATCAACATAGTTTACTAGCAACGCAAGGATTTTTTTGTCACATATCTTCCATGTGTCAACATCCTTAGAATTAACAGGTGCTTTTTCAGTCAAATGATTCTTTCCCATTCCACCCAGGCTAATCTCAATCAAATACTTCCACTTCATATAGTTCATATCATCTCTATCCAGCTTAAAATCGGTAAGCTTGGATAGAGATATAATTTCCGTAATAGCCCCCTTGTGCTATGCATCCTGCACATCCTGACTATCACGTTCAAACATTGTACATGCACAAACAGTGATGGAATTGCGTGGGTTTCATCTCAATGGCTAGAAAGAAACACTACACTCAAATTGTAAACGTTGAATTACTGCATATTCTGGTTACCAGAAAAACTTTTCATCCCCACAGTAGCCATGGTTAGCCTTTTTTGAAGCTGCTGTTTTTCTGTTTTTTTTTTCCCGGAGGCGGAGTGGTGGTGGTGGCAGTGGTGGCGACCAAAGAGAGAATCTAGAAGTCTCTTGATACCATGTAGAAATTAGAGAGATAGAGCATAGAGAGAGAGAGAGAGACAGATTAGTGTGCTGGAATTGAATGCTTTACAATGTGTAGAAACCTTTATATTTATAAGGATACATATGTAACCCTACTGGGCCAAGCCCATTATTATAATACTAAAATAAACCCTAATCCTAATACGTTTATTATATCTATTCATAACAATATGCTATAATCCTGTCACATGGAAGCTTGGTATGTTGAAAAAGGAGTAAAATTTCTAAAGCTTTCCACGTGTCAATATCATGTTTTTAATAATAATAATTTCTTGCTTACTGCTGTTGATGTTTCATAGAGTTTAATTAGAAGAATTTACCTCAATTTACAGGTATACTCCCATATCCGATCCAGAATCTAAGGGACACTTTGATTTGTTAATCAAGGTACATCACTAATAAAGGGAGCATTTCGTATCTTGTATATCATCTTGCCAAGAAGCTTTTTTGTAGAGCCACTCGGGTGATCTAATCTTCAAATTGTTACAGGTGTATCCTGAAGGAAAAATGAGCCAGCATTTTGCAAGCTTAAAGCCAGGTGATGTTGTTGAGGTGAAAGGGTATGTAATTTGTAATAACATTTCAAGATCAAAAGAATACCTTCTATGCATAAACTTTGTGTGAGAAAGACATTGTTTCTTCCAGGCCCATTGAAAAGCTCAGATATAGTCCTAATATGAAGAAACATATTGGCATGGTAAGTTTAGTGACACCAGTACACATTAACAATGATGGGATTTGGGGTTTAATAATCATTCAGTTATATGTTGAAATATTTATTATACTTGTTTGGGAACCAGTGGAGTCACAAAGGTACTTCTGAAAGAAAAAGAGCAACAAATTTGCTACTTCCTTTCGCCAAAAGGTTTATTTTGAAGGCCTCAACTGGTCTCCCAGACATGTGCATTGTCATTGCTACTCACCTGTATGTATCCATAACTTCGTAACATTTTACATTCCATGTGACACCAGGTTGAATTTTTCTTATTACATTTCTCAGATTGCTGGTGGAACAGGAATTACTCCAATGCTTCAGGTGATTGAAGCAATATTGAAGAATCCTAATGACAAAACTCAGGTAGTTGCTAGGCCTTGTGATTGATAACTTTTACAACAATTGCCCATGATGTACAGCCTGCCTTTCCCAACTGTTTTTGTAAAATTATGTTGTCATATTCTTTTTTTTTTATATTTTTTTTTACAATTTCTTCGAACTGTTTGTCATGTTTGATTCATACGGCTGAATATGCACTAGTTCAATTTGTTTATTCAAATGAAGTTCGATTATTTTATTCATTATATTTATGTCTAATAAACTGGAGAATACCGCAGCTTACAGTGTTCTTTTTTTATAAAAATAATATAGATATCATTGCTTTATGCTAATGTCTCCCCAGATGACATATTGCTTAAACAGAAGCTTGACATTCTAGCAGCTAGCCATCCAAACTTAAAGGTAATAATTTTCTTCAGAAATTTAAAGTCAGTACCTATTACTTTTGTTAGTAAATTAATTTATCCTTTTTTGACCAAATTTGCAGATATTTTACACTGTAGATAATCCAACAAAAAATTGGAGAGGAGGTGCAGGTTTCATATCAAAGGATATGGTTGAGAAAGGCTTACATGGTCCTTGTGATGATACTATTGTGCTTGTAAGTTTTGCTCTTGCGAGTAAAACCATTGAGGGCACTTGATGATGATCTATTTCGAGGTGTTTAAAAGATTTGTCGTAAATCCTCATCAAAATTTAAACAAATTAATGTAGTACTAGGGTAACCCTAGATTGTCTCCCATGAACATTGGTTATTAATCTTCATTAAACATGTTGGAGGCATTAATTAAACAAGCAATTAAAATGGGGGGGGGGGAGTTTTGTGGTTTCAAATTAAAATAAGAGCAATGAGCAAATGAGTTTAATTAATTCAAACAATAGAAAACAGCAATCCTTAGTTCATCCACATAGATTCTATCCTAATTCCACTCAAGATTTAACATTCATCCTCTCTTCCATGAATTAGGTTAATTTAACAAGCGAAAATCAACCTTATGGTCCCAACGAAATTACGCAATTTGTTAGGCTCTAATCTCTCATCCCAAAATTACGCAACCTTAGAATTAAACCTAGGATTAAGCAACCCTTAGTTTAGAATCTCCTTAAAACGAAATTAGGGTTAATTGAGCAATACCCCCCTCATTCACCATTAATTCAATTCAAGAGACAAGGAAGAAGTAATTCATGAAAGAAAGGAATTGTATTATCATTAAATTCAAGGAACTCAAGAACCCATGTGAATTCACTAAGGATTACACAAACTTAGCCCTCCATGGAAATGGGGGTCAAAAACGCAATTGGGAAATGCAGAAAACTCATTAACATTAATGTAAAAGCAAGAGAAATGAGAAACCAAACCCTAGGTTGGACCCTTGGCTGTCACCCAAGATTGCCCTAAGCTCTGGAAAATATTCTAAATTGAGTAAAGAAGAGAAAAGGTTCAAAAAGTGTAAGAAACTCCCTACCCTAATTTGGTAAAAATCTATTTATACTAAAGCTGGCGCCCTCTAAAGTAGTTACTCTCATTCTTTCATAGTAAACACGCGCAACATCAGTTGAGTTTTGCCTCTCTGGAGTGATTACTATGAATTTTGATAGTAACTACGCGCAGCACCTTCAATTCTGCATGCTCTGGAGTGACTACTATGAATATTCATAGTAACCACGCGCAGGTTTGGTTGATTCTGGGCTACTGTAGTTGTCACTTTAAGCTTTGAAAGTGATCACTTTGGTCCCTTTGCTGGAAGTGGCTTGCTGTAGTTGTCACTATCAATATTGAAAGTAGTTACTTTCAACTCAAATTCCTCAAAATCCAATAATTCTTCAAAATAAGCTTGGGGATTCCTGTCATATTATTCAAATGATCAAAATATGTAAAATAAACTATCTAAATTCATGTAAATTAACAAAAAATTAAGAAAGCTATATTATTTAGCCTAATTGGAATATTCATCTTATTTACACTATCTAAGTCTATTCTTTTCTATAAGAAGTAATAAATGATGTATAAAAATGTAGTAAAATGTGGACTCATCAGCACTCTAATATATTGTCCTTACTTCTAACTGATGTGTTGAAAAAAATTTTAATTTGATTCTCTAGGGAAATCAAAAGATGTTTCCTTTCTGATTTTTTCTTTAAGTATCCATATGGTGAGATGATTGAAGTAAAAATTCCCCTTTAAGAGTAATAGCAATTATTGCCTTAGGACGTAGGATTCTTACTAAGTTAAAGAATGTCATTGGTAGAAACTTGGAACTAGAGTAGAAGATTATATTTAAGGGAGACCAAGCTCCTTACAAGCAGAGGTAGACCTCTGTAAAGACTGAAATCCCAAGAAAATGCAGCATAAGACAAATAGACCTACAAGGGTATTCTTAGATATAGTATCCCCACCCTACCAAATCTTACCCATCAAGAATAATTCATGCCTAAGTTCTCCTCAAACTTTTATCTCCCCTTTTGCTGGTGATGCACCGAAAAACATACTGGTTCCCCATTCATATTGCATCAGTGCCCCAGGTTGTTAACTACCTCTTCTTTGGTCCTTACCTCTGCTGTGATAACAGTACCTCCATTTTTCAGCTTATCTCTTATTTCATAAACACATGGCCCACTCTGCTCCTACTGTCCATTTGGATGCAACCTTTGTTTCTTCCTCCTAATATAGGCTTGGGCTAAATTCCAATGTTACTTCTCTGTTCACACTGTGCCACCTTTCCAGTGATGTCAATATTTCCTGGATCAACCTTTCCAGCCTTCTATCCAACGTGCTCTGATTATTATTGCTTAATTTTACCAACTGTATTGTCATGTTAGACTCTAAATTCTAATCTAGTTTCAAGTCTTTGACATTGTACAGTCTAAGTCTGAGCTGCTTTTGCTAGGTAGATTGTTTAGTTTCAATCCGTACTGTCTAAGTTGTTTTCCTTTGTTAAGGGTATTTGTTTTAAAACATGATGAGAGCTTAGTAAGCTTCAGCAGTGTTAGAACATTAGGATTATTATTATTGTTGAGCTGGGATTGTACTCAACATGTACTTAACCTAGAATATTAGTATAAATTGTGGTGTCAATTTAGTGTTTATATCATAGTTATTTAGAGTCCTAATACAACGACAACAAAAACCTAATTCCACAAAGTGAGGTTAGTTACTTGAATCACACACCACCACTAGCCTAGGTTGCCTCTTACACATCACCAACCACTCACCTTTTCACATGGGTATTAGTCAAAATCATAGTATAGGTTTGTCATCAGAGTATTCGTACAAAAGTTATTTTATTTATTTTTACAAAGTCGTGGAGTTAATCCCGAATCTTTGATGTCACTTTATCCTGCGTTTTCAGGTTTGTGGCCCCCCTGGGATGATGAAACATATATCTGGGGACAAGGCTAAAGACCGGTCACAAGGAGAGGTATGTAAATTTGTGTGGTATGTCTATCAGACCATATTTCCTGGATAGATGCTGATTGCACTTTATGGTTGATTTGCTTCAGCTTAGTGGCATACTGAAAGAGCTTGGATACACTGAGCAAATGGTTTACAAATTTTAAGAATTGTAGGAGCATCTTCTGGAATGATTAATGGCTGAGGAATTTATATAATAAAACGGTTTTTCATTTAAAGAAAAAATAGTTGGCTGCGGATGAATATTTCTACATGAAATAAACCTGCAATTGCACAGGAGAGAAAGTTGTTGATTCTTTAAGTGGCTGTTGAAATTTCCAAAATTTATAGATATTTAACAATTTAGTTACTAAGCCTAGCTGTCAATAAAGGCTAGTCCCACTTGAGGTAAACTTAATGCTAAAATAAGCATTGGCGCCTCCCACCGTTATCATATAACAATTTATGTATATGGTGATTTGTTTGGAAATTCACTTTTATTAAATGTGCAACATATCGAGAGCTTATGTAAAGAATATATATACTTTAATGTTTTTTTTATAGAGAAAATTGTTAATCTAAACATTTAAAACTGTCATGAAATAATAGATTAAGTTCACAAGATTTTACATAATTCAAAAATTGTTTTGATATTTTATTGCACTTTATTTTAATGCATGATATATTAGTCAAAATATAGACAAAAAGTGATTAATAATATTTATGAATTTTTTTTTTTATTGAGCTCAATATCCATGTAGTTGGCATGGAATAAGTATTGGTTGTTAGTATTATAAATAAATAGTGATATATGATTTAATATCTTTGATTATCTAAATTGTGTAAAATTTTATATATACAACTATGGTAATAATTTCACATGAGTTGAATTAGTAAAATTTAATTTTGATGAAAAAATTATTAAAAGCATCATTTGATTATATCTCTTTTTTCTCTAATTTAAACTCATACACAACACAATTTAGGGTCCTTTTTTCAAATTATTTAACAGGAGTGATGTCAAAATCTTTTAATAAACTTCAACGTAGGATAACATGATTTTATTGCTGAATTGGTTAAATTTTTTAATTATTAATATTAACCTTTTTATTTTATCTTCAAATATATTATATATTGACTTTTTCTTTCTCATTTTACATTTTAATTACCGTCAAGACGACCTCTCATTTTCCCGATTTCTCTCCAACAACAGCATCACTTTCAATCTTCCTTTTGTTGTTTCATTTTCCTATTTCTTTTCCATAAAATTCTTCTAACTTTATCGATCTTCACATAATAATTTACAAATCTCTCAAAGAAAGGTTTTTCAGCACACCATACAATTTTAACCGTAAAAGGATTTTTTTAATCCTACGAGTGTCTTGCATTTGTATTACACTATATTTTTACACTCAATTCTAATTTATGATTAATGTTTCAGGTTTTGAATGTATGTTAAATTTTTTCCATAGACTACTAGTTGTTTCTAGTCTCCCAATATTCGTTCTTTATAAAATTACTACTCGAACAGCAAATTATATGAAAAGCCTCTGGACCTATACGACCATACAAACGTAGGATTAGGTTAAATAACTCTATTGTAAAGCATAGTAAAATGTTACTTTCAATATAATTTTGTATAAAATAAAAATTTTATTAGTCCAACCATTAATTTTTCTAACATTGTCATAAATTATCTTTATAAATAAATATTTGTAAATATGTAATTCAACACTATCTATTTATTTTTATTTTAAATAACATATTATTCGTTAAAATATAGGAAACGATGAAGTATTGAGTAGTATGTAGTGTGTGAATATTTGTAAACTCCTTTTAAACGGTTTTATAGAAGAAATGTACTTATTACTATGAAAGATGAAAGATTCAGTTCTTACAGTTTAGACCGTAAATCTTTACGAAAATGTTATTGGCATTTTGTTGAAGACTATTTCTTAACTCTTAAGTGTCTAAATATTTCTAATAATTTTTCCTGGGATATGAGTCATTTTTAATCATTTCGATTAATTGTTTGGACATAAGAACATTCCCCAAAGGTTAGTCTTAGGTTGTATTTGAGTAGGGTAATTAAAATTTTTAGATAATTTAAAATTTTAAAAAATTTAAATTACATCATTTCAAATATTCTAATTTAGATTGAGTAATTAAATTACTTACATTCTTAAAAAAAAAAATCATTATTATATTTAACAAAATTAACTAAAAATATGAAACTCAAATAATTAAATCAACCACAATTGAATAAAAATATGAATAACACATCATAAATGAAAAAATAATCTTAAATTTTCACTCTTTTGTTAGAATTTAATTTTTTTAATCTATTAAAAAATTCTAAAATTTTAAATTTTTAAAAATTTAATATTCCAACAACAAATTTTAATTCATAAAATTATAAATTCTTTAAAATATGAATTACTAATCTTTAGAAATATGTAGTGATTAGAAGGCTACGAAGGACCTTGCGAATCCTAATATTTTTTGTTTTGAGCCTTGGACTATTGGGCCATTGTTACGGACTAATTTAGGAATCGGAATAGGATTATCACTCGAAATGTAATTGTTTGCAATAGTTTTGCTAACTCTTACAGCAAGTGAGTAATGCACAAATTGATCTCTACCTTATAAAACCAATTTTGTCGTGCTTAAGTGAAGTTTGTTCATGTATTTTGTATTGTAACACTTTAAATTTCTCTCACTTTATAAATAAATATTAAATATATTAATCTCGTTGAATTAGAAATAAGTATAGAATAGAGACTTAAAAACTAAAATTTTTTTTAATAAAATTTTACCTAAAAAAATTTGATCGGTAAAATATAAATAAATATCTAAAAATTTTATTTAAAAAATTTTGAATATCTAAAATAATTTTATATAAATTATAAGAAGTTTAAAAAGAAGAAAAATAATAAATAAATAAAATTACAAAATTAAACTAAAATGACCACAATACTTCTAGAAAAACCTAGAATGTTAGTCCATTTTGAGTAAGGAAATGACCATGAAAAATTCTGAAATTGTTATGGTAAGTTATTGGAGTAAAAAGGGTTATATTCGTTCAAGAAGAAATCCAAAAAATCAAGTAGAAAATTCAAACTAAATTCCTCGGAAATAGCCCATACATAATGTAGTAAATGGTCTATTTTGTGCCAAAAGCTTGCAAAATTTGTAACCTACCCAACTCAATTCAAATTTCACGTTTTCTTGAATTTACTTGAGATTGAGAGGAAAGAAAATCTGAGCTTGGATTCAAAAGGAGTTTGGAGTTTGCAAGGGGTTTCTCTGAGTAAAGGAAGTGAGTGAGAGGTTTCTTGGATTACAATACAAGTTTCAAAGTGAAAATCTCTTAAATACTTTTCAAAACTTGTGAAATTTTGCTTAAGCGAGAAAATCAGACAAAAATTTTACTCTTTTGCTAATATTTTCATTCGAGCGAGAGTATTTTCGCTTGAGCAAAAACACGACAAAGAGCTACCAATTTTTGTTGAGATTTCTTGCTTGAGCAAAAATTCAGTTGAGAAAATATGATCCATTCTTGCTTGAGCAAAAAATTTTTGCTTGAGCTAAAAGGAATATTCTCCTAAGTTTAAAGGGATATTCTTTTTTTTTTTTGGGAAAACTCTTCTATTTTGAAAACAAGAAATTGCAAATGAAAAATAGGATGTTATAACTCTTTCACCCTTTAAAGAATTTCATCCTTGAAATTCAATGGCTCAAGAAAAGATAAGCATATATCTCCCTCATTTTATCCTCAGGTTTCCATGTAGAGTCTCCTTTGTTTTTTGCATTCCATATCACCTTAACTAGATATATGGTCTTGCCTCTAAGCTTGCTTGACTCGATGATTGGCAATCTTCACTGAAAATACATCATAGGAGAGATTCTCTTGAACTTGGATAGGATCAAACTTGATTACATGAGAGGGATAAGGGATCAAACATATATTTTCTGAGTTGAGATATATGGAAAACTAAATGCAAATTTGAAAGATTTGGTGGCAGAGAAATTTGGTAAGCCACAAGACCAAATCTCTTTAGAATCTCAAAAGGTCCTATAAATTTGGGTGATAGCATTTTAGATTTCAAAGCTTTACTGACTCTAGTAGTAAGTAAGACTCTCAGAAATACATGATCACCAACCTGAAATTCTAGAGGCTTTCTCCGCTTATCATAATAGCTTTTCTACCTATCTTGTGAAATTTTGATTTTCTCTCTAATCATCTGAACTTGTTCATTCTGCCTTTGGACCACATTAGGAGCAAACTAAATGGCTTCTCCGGTCTTGTACTAACATAGAGGCATTCTACACTTTCTTTCTACAACACTTCATACGATTGTCATACCAATGCTAGCATGATAACTGTTGTCATATATGAATTCTACCAAAGATAGACAATCATCCCAAACTCCTTGTTGCTCCATCATGCAAGCTTGTAACAGGTCTTCTAGAGATTGGATGGTCTGCTCTATTTGTCTGTCAGTTTTGAGATGATATACCGAGCTAAGCATTAACATAGTTCTCAAGGCTTTTTGTAGACTTTCTTAGAATTTTGATGTAAGCCTCGAGTCTCTATCTGATATGATGCTCAAAGGTACTCCATACAGCCTAACTATCTTTTTGACATACCCCTCTGGTAGTTTCTCTTGCTTGTACCTCATGTTGATTGGGATAAAATATGCAGTCTTTGTCAATCGATTTACAGTCATCTATGTTGCATCATAATTATGCTTTATCCTTGATAAATCAGATACAAAATCCATGAAGATGCTATCCCATTTCTATCGGGAATCTCTAACAGTTGCAATTCCCTCGGCATACGTTGATGCTCTGCTTTTGATTTCTGACATGTTAAACACTTCTCAACATACTCAACTACCTCTTTCTTTATGCCATACCACCAGAAATTCCTTCAGAAATCTTGATACATCTTCGTTGCTCAGATGAAAATTAAATTTACTCTTATGTGCCTCCTCCAGTATCATTTGCTTTAGCTCTTCATTTTGGAAAATACACACCCTGTCCTTGAAACTTATTAGCTCATTTGAATCACGATGAAACTCTGAATCCTTGCTTTCATCTTTCTTCCATATCATTTCTTGCAAATACTGATTTTCTTATTGTGCAGTTTGAACTTTAGTCAGAAAATTGTTGTTGATCTTTAGGGTTCCAAGTTACAAGCTTTTGGGTTGCACTTCCATTGCCAAATTTAAGTCTCTAAATTCTTTAATCAACATCCATTCTTTTTTCATCATAGCCAAAATATGCAAAGACTTCCTGCTCAATGCATCTGCTACTACATTTGCTTTCCCAGAATGGTAGGATAA